AGAAGGCATGTACAATAATTGTCTGTGTAGACAGTCATCCCAGTGTCTAGCAAGGGGTGCATTAGTCTGGCAACTACAGACTCTGCTGAGCCTAAATTTTTGCAAGATTCACTTCTGCCACAATATATTTTGAAGTTTCAGGTGTAACCATTGGTGGAACACAACTTGCAAATTTTACATCCGTACTTGTTGGCGTTTATTTGGCTTGTACTGGTTTTGCCTGAAAAAAAAAGCAGTCCTCTATATGGCACCATTGTTTCATCAATGACTACTTCATGGTTCAATTTGTAGACTCATTGGTATCTTTCTAACATTAGTCTTGTTATTGGTAGGAGTTTATCAAGCCTGATGAAGTGCCCGAATCATTGAAATGAAGGGTTCTCAGTAGAATAGAAAATTTGTCTCTGACCATTAGCTCACAGACACATTTTCTCTTAAATAGAGCACTTTTTGACCAGTAAAATTCCATGGAATATTGAGGATTCCGTCCCATGTACAGGATGATTCCTGAAATTTTTTTTATTTCTGTAGAATCAGTTGGCATCCAGCAATTCAGTCTCAAGTTCCTTGTTAGATTTGGGTGTGCTCGCAAATACTCTGCATTATATTTGTTTCACGAACAATCAATTCTATGATTGAATCTGTCAAAAAAGGGAGTAAACATCAATAGGCCAGAAAATGATTTTCCCTTCATGAGAAGGGTTAGGTGCAATTGACAGTTCTTCCTTACCAGAAAACAGAAACTTTCTTTCATTCATGCTGACACTTAGCCACACACTTTGCTCTGCCAGACCTTCTATTGCTTGAATATCATTTCCATTGTTGTTGTCATCACTAATTTTACCATCGATCTCACTTTCCTGTGAATGTTGTTGTTGACCCTCCCTGCCTCGCTTCACGGCATGAGGCGGGGCCTAGACCCAGTTCTGGGGCCAGCCAAGTCGGTTGCCCCAGCGAGCCAGCAGCCCCACGGCATTTATGGGGTCTGCCACAAGGTCACCCACTGACAGGGATGTGGGCATTTCAGGTCAGGAGAAAAGATGAATGGTGTTGTGCGTGTTGGATAGACAGAGTGGGCAAAGTGGAGAAGAGTGTGTGGCAGGGTCTATATTATTTAGGTATGAGAGAAGTAGCGGTGATTTGTTTGTGCAAAGTTGGGCAAGGTTCTGGCGTGCAGGTCTAGGTAGGTTGATTTCAGATGGGTGCATCTGTGGTGCAGGGATGTTTAAAGTTTTAGTGTGAGGGAGGGTTGCAAGATAATTTTCTGTGACTGTAGTGTGGACTTTTTTGAGATTTTGTTTGATTGTGTCTTGTGTAGCTTGTGCAGGCAGAGTATCTATGTTGGCGGTGAAACCTGACTTGTGGAAAATGGTTTGTTTCATGAGACGGTGTGGGTGAGGCTGAAGGGTGAGGGTATGTATTGGGTGGGTTGGGTTTTGTGCTTTCTGTCTGAGTTCTGAGGCATGAAGTTTGAGGTGTTGTGTTAGGGGTAGGAGTTTGGTTTCTTTGTGAAGGTGATGGATGTTGGTGTCTGTGGTACAGCCTGCGGCTATCCTGAGTGCTGCGTTCTGGACTGTTTGGAGTTTGTTCATGTGCGTGGGTGATATAATTGGTGACCAGGATGAGTCTGCGTATTCAAGGATTGGACGTGTGATTGTTTGAAATGTGGTTGTGAGTAGTTCATTTTGTTTTCCCCATTGTGTGGCTGTAAGTGATTTGATTATTTTGATGGTATTATTGGCTTTGTTGTGAGTATTACTAATGTGTGTGCTGAAGGTGAGCTTTGGGTCAGAGGTAAGTCCAAGTATTTTAGGGTTGTGTACTGTTGGAATGAGTGTATTTTTGATATTGAGGTTGAGTTGTGTGCTATATTCAGCCGGGTCAGGTGTGAAAAGAGTGGCAGTGCTTTTTCTTTGCATTGAGTTGTAGTTGGTTTTCTGCGGTCTATGTGTGTATGGTTTGTAGGTATGGAAGACAGACTTGTGCAGCAGTGTTATAGTCTTTGTGGGAGGATAAGATTATGTCATCTACATATGTAATCATTTTAATATTGGATGGAGGTGAGGGTATATCTGAAACATATATGTTGAACAGTGTGGGTGATAGGACTCTGCCTTGTGGTACGCCTGTTTTGTATAATTTATGTTTTGAATTGGTATTGACTTGTGTGAAACTCAGGTTAGTTTAGGTTAGGTTAGGTTAGGACAGAACCTAACCTAACCTAGCGCAATTTTTGGGTTTACATAGGTTTACAGTAATTTCCAGATCGATATAGGTCATTTCCGGTAAAAAAAAATCGAAGTTTTCAAATTTTTTGCAAATTTTTGCCCAATTTTTTTTTGATGAATTAGAACCTAGGGTGTGTCACCCCCCTAAAACCTCCGGTTCCCCACGGGTCCCCATTGTTGTTTTCTATAGAAAATCTATAAAAAATAAAAAAATTTGTACCACCAAAAATGGATTTCAGATCCTTAATCTACACCTCAAAAAACATATAATTAAAAAAACACCCTTCTTTGGATGCACTTAATCTAAAGTAATACCCTATGATCTGGCTCGCAATAGTATGAAGTCAGGCTATAGTGGCAAAGCAGAGAGTTTTTTAGACTCTCCCTCAAGTTCATTTTTGAGTCCTAAAGTAGACCAGTTAAGTATCCTGGATACCAGCATTATTATACATAAGAAATTGGTATAAATCTGGAGTAAATTAAAAATGAACTATTTCTGAAAAATCTGTGCTTTGTCACTATGGACGTCACTATTTCAACCATCTATGCATGCGTGGAACTAAGACAAAGCTCAATTTAAAGGAAAAAGGTGAGAAGTATCGGAATTACCCAAGATGTCGGAATATGGTGAGTTTACCCTAGATGCTTTCCTCACTAGCTGCCATAAAGACCTCTCATTCTAGAATTCCACTATGCCACTCTCATTCACATCTGAATCAGGGTTGGCGATTTTTTTGATTTTTTTGAAAAAATAAAAAAAATCAAAAATCAATGATTTTTTTGATTTTTTCATGATTTTTTTGATTTATTTGATTTTTTTGATTTTTTCAGCTTTTTTGTCTTTTTTGTGGTGTTATTTTTTATGTTGTAATTAGCCTACTAACAATAACAGTATATGGATCATAATGGATGGCTAAAAAGGGCACTTATTGCCTCCAATAATGGCCAACAGGCCAAGGTGGTGTTTACCACTTAGGGTTAAAAAAAATAAAAAAAATCATGATTTTTTTATAAAAAAATCAAGTGATTTAATCACATGATTTAATCATTTTGATTTAATCATTGCCAACCCTGCATCTGATGATCTGTCATGAGAGTCTTTGGCCTAATTTTCTCATTGATGATCTGTCAGGACTGTCACTCATGACAGTCTTTACTCTTTGGCCTAATTTTCTCTATAAAGTTTGGACTAATTTTCTCTATAAACTCATAATAATAGGCTACTACCAAAAATTTAGGATCCTTTTTACTTTATTAGTTTATAGCTAAAAAATATTAAAATAAATCACTTCCCTTAATCCCTTGAAAACTGGAAACCCTAGGTAGGGTAAACGCGGTATATTCCGACACTTTAAGGACGCATCGAGAAATGAAAAACTATAAAAAAAAACCGTATGCATTACGTAAGTTCTGTTGTGCGCATTGGCCATATCGATCGTAAATCGCGATTTATGGAGAAGCATAATTGGCAACCGGCGTCCAGTGGCATCCACCTCGGCATCTTTGGTGCATGAAATCGGCGTCCTCGACCTATGTTGTGCCATGCTCTACAGTGTGGCTCTCATCGAGTGATCCTAGAATCCCACTACCTATGTGGACTCTCAGCCTTACTCAAATCTGTCTCGAGTGTCTTTGGCCTAATTTTCTCTAAAAAGTTTCAATTTATAATTATACCAAAAATTTAGGATTCATTTTACTGATTTTAGTTTACCTACTATTATAAATAAATACCTAGCTAGGTAGGCTATAAAAAATATTAAAATAAATGACTTCCCTTGAAAACTGGAAATAGGTATAGGTATGTGATATGTTATTCATTCATTGTCATTCGAATTAATTTCTCCATTTAAAATAACACAAAATTGGTCACATTAACAAATAAAAATAACATGAAAACTGTGATAGGCTACACCTACGATGGTTTTCTAGAAAATTTTCTGCTGAAATCTGCCCCTAAGTCAATTTGAAGTCTGATTGGTCATGGTAGAGGTGCCAAATTGCCAATTGTCAAGATGACAAGATCATCAGTAAGATGAAAATAATGAGTGTGTCAGTTTTATAGACAAGTTATATTTTATATTGTTAGGCAAGAAGTAGAGATATTATTATCATCGCATACCGGACATCAACGTCCGGTAAAACACTCACTCAGTCTTTGGCTCACCTGATTTTACCTTCTAATATGGAAGCTAAAGGGCCAATATCACCAGACAAAGTGCATCCTGGTAGCTTTTCCAGGATGCTATAGTAAATATTATCATGAGACATAGCTAATTTACAAAAAATTACTGTTTTCAATGTATGAACTACGAAGCCATTCCAAAATCTCCGCTTCACTTTATCAAGATCGAACATAAAACCTAACCCACGGAACGTGGAAAAGCGTCATAATTATTCTATCGTAGAAAATAGCGTGTGAATCACCAGCAGCAAAAAATTCAAAGAAATATCTGCAATAACTGAAAGAAAACTCTATTAGTATTATAAGAATTTTAGATACTTTTCACGCATATCACTGCAATACATAGAGCCTATCGCGTATGTAAACACACGCAAGTGGGAGGTCACGTAAGATGAATAAAATAACCTTTCATAGATATAAAGTGATTCATCGGATATAAAAGTTACATTTTGGAAGTTATTAATCATGGGGAAACACAATAATTACTTGAAATATCATATACTTTATTATAACACATTACGATTTGCTTTAACTCGCAAGGAATTAGTTCTAATTTTCGAGTGTATTACTCCGCGCTGACCATCCTCGAGGCTCGAGCTCTCGGTCGCATACGCTGCTCGCGAGTGGTAGAGAGTGGGTGTGTTGTGAATACGATATTTGAAGATGCTCTGGCAATTTCTAGTTGGATAAATTTTAAAATCTCTGAAATTAGTGCGGAGATCATGTCAGCTCAAGAATTCCAGTTTATTCCCCCTCCGGAGGCCCCAATTTTTCGTCCTACTTGGGAAGAATTCCAAGACGCCCTTCAATATATTAATAAAATTCGACCTGTCGCAGAACAATACGGAATCTGCAAAATTATCCCACCCCCGGTAATATATTATTTATAATTGTATTCTTTACTTGACATTTTTATATCATGGTCATTTATACAATAGCAAATGGTATGATAGGATGACGCGTCATGCGCCAAATGACGAAATGTCATGTAGGTTTCGTTTTCCTTATCGAACTATTCGAGCCTTTGTTAGTCGAAGTTGAATCTTGAAATCCGTAATTGTTACTCCTAATTACGTCGAATAAGCATTCTAGAACTTTTCTAGCTTACTAAAAAGAAAGTCGTAATATTGTTTCTTGATTTTTAAAGTAAAATGGCTTGCTTTGTCATGCAGCAAAACCGACCTCGACTCTACATGAGCGTCTACATACGTTGGCTACGTAAAAGCGCATGGAATCTTAATGGCTGCCTGCACTTCAATTTTTTCTTGTGAATTGAATTTGCATTATCCTCCATAAGGCTCCATCTGAAAACATACGAGTTAAATTTTACTTCCTAATAGATAATCTACATTTTGTAAATGAAAAAAAAAAGATATCGACAAAATCTATCGGGCTTTGCTCAACTGTAATTTGCGATGTGAATATAGTTAGGTAGGTACCTAGCTTAGCTACTTACCCAACGTACTTAATGGTAAACTTCTAATACTTTTTGAAGAGTGCTTCTTTTGGTCGTTCGAACCATCTTGAATGCCAAAAACTGTTCGACTTTGACTAGGAATTTAGGTACTCATTCTGAAAGTATAATTCTAGGAATTATGGTTCATATATAATGCACCTGAGTCCTAATGATGCCGAATTATGAATTGAAGAAAAAGCTCGTTTGTGTATTGTAATTGTTAATGTTAAGCTTAAAATGCATATTGTTTATACATTACTACTGCATTGAATTCCACTCTGCTGGATAATTGTAATTATTTTATTTAAATTTAACTTAGTGGTGAACTGGTGATAAATGTCAATTATGTCTTTGTTAGCTTTCTAATTAGTTTACCCAAATTCTGAGCTTTAGAATTCATTGAGTAGATATTTAACATTTTTCAAGTATTGATAATTATTATTTGGTATTAATAGTCTGGTACTGTGGTACAATTACTCAATACAAACTTTCTTGTAAATTGTAATAGTTGTAGCTACCATTGTGTGTTTTGTTTTAGTTCTTGTTTGAGTTTTTTTTTATCTCACTCGGTTAGGGTGGAATTTTAAGATTTCATGATTGCTTGTTTACATATTTAATATCAAAAGTCATTTCACTTAATTAAGCTCAGATTTTCATCTGAAAAATGAGAGAAAAGGAGAGTTGAGAGTAGCTGAGAATAAAGCATGAGACTGACTTGATATAGTTTTGTTGGACTGGATCAGAGGAATGATATTGTGTTTTAGCTGGGCGGGGTATTTTGAGGGCAGGGTATTTATCTTGTTGAGAGTTGCACATCTTCTGATCAAGAATATCATGTTCATAAATATGCCAGCTCATGTGTATCTAACACTTCTGAAATTCAACATTGTTACTAATTTATGAATTGATTCCATTTACTCAAATAACTTTCAAGGAAACCCGTTTAAAAGCAGACTAAAGGAATATAGTTTTCACAAAGCAAATTGTCCATCTCTGAAATCTGGTATTCAAACGCATAGTTAATTTACAAAGCCTTCCCTACAGTCAATTCCTAGCTTTTTATCTACTAGAAGATCATTTGGAGTAATTTCTAGACACATTTTTTCTATATATATACTTTCTTGACCCATTTGTTGTGTTTGTGAGTCACTGAGCAACTTGTGCAAAGTTGTTACCTACCGTCAAGTGGGGTGACTTCAGCCACCACTCCAACAGAAATAAATGGCAGCAAAACAAAATAATAAACATTGGCCCAAGTCACCCTAGTCACTTTGGAGTTTGGACAACATTTATTATATTGCTTTGCTGCCATTTGTTTTTGTTGTAGTAGTGGTCGAAGTCACCCCACTTGACCGTCCGTAACTAAATTTTAGTTTCTACCAATGTGTATGTGTATGGAACTAATAGAAGGATTGCTAGAAATGAATGAAGTAACATGCTCGCTTATGGATATCATTATATCTAAAAATGCATAAGATTTGAACAACTTGTGCAGTTGCCTGAGTACCTATGCAAGATTTAAATAACATAAGTTTTTATTCTTTCCAGGACTGGCAGCCACCTTTTGCTGTTGATGTTGACAACTTCAAGTTCACTCCACGCATCCAGAGGCTCAATGAGCTTGAGGCCCACACTCGTATCAAACTCAACTTCCTTGACCAAATTGCCAAGTTCTGGGAACTGCAAGGTTCATCTCTGAAGATCCCTGTGGTAGAGAAAAAGGCTCTTGATCTCTATTCTCTCCACAAGAAAGTGCAAGAAGCTGGTGAGTTGTAATTTCTGTTGTTGGCACCCCTTGGAAGTTCTATATATATATAATTATTCAGTGTAATTTGTACCAGACAATCATTGTGAAGCTTAAAGTAGGAAAACTTGTGTAAAGTGTGAAGTAAAGATAGAAGGATGATGCAAACTCTTAATTTTTTCCCCTGTTTTGATTTCTGCTACAGGTATAATAACTTTTCCTGAATGGCTGTGATTCAATTCAATAACTTACTTTTACTATTAATTTTATTTTGATTCATTTAGATTTTATTACTGTTCAGTAATTTTGAAGGATGACTTAGGAACCATTTTCATTGATTACTGCAAGTTGTTGATAAAACTTAGCATAATACATTGTAATTAGTTTTGAGATTGGTCTAAATGACACATAGGGTCTAAGTTGCATATTTTGATAGGAGCTGCTACAATTCAAGCTACCTATTTTTAATTAAGAAGCAAAGATGAGGCTTGAAAGTTAGCTGTGACTGATTGCAATACATTTACAATCAGCCAGAGATATCTTGCAACCGAGGTTGCAACTTAGTTGATGATTTGTTTGTTTGTGAACAGGAGGTGGAGACGCTGTTACTCGGGCGCGGAGCTGGACAAAGATAGCCTTCAGTCTGGGCTTCAGCAGCAACAGGAATCACATTGGTACTACCCTCAAGCAGCTCTATGAGAGAATCTTGCAGCCCTTTGATATCTTCAACAGGAGCAAGGAAGTCCCTTTGGTGAGATTTTGACATGTCTGCCCATTAATTGTTCTTGTTTTAATCTGTAAATTCTCTAAGTTTAAATCTAAAATTTCAATTTGGTGTTAATAATAATCAAGATATTTTTGCTTGGCAGGGTGAGGACCAGAGTTGCACAGACAATGACCCGGACTTTGTGGCAGAGCCAAAAGATTACAAGCCTCACCAAATTCCCAGTCGCATGGCGGGAAAAATACCAGAGAATGAGAAGAATGGACGCAGGAGTCGGCGTTATCATGCATCGGGAGAGGAGGAAGATGATGTCAGTTTTATAATCTTAAATGATGCTACCATTACTTTCGATAGTCTTCTCTCCATGCTATCAATCTTCATGAAAAATTGTTGAACTTGAAAAAATGTCAGTGAATTTTACAAGGCTTTCAATAATTGTACGAGAATTTTTTATGCATTAAAGTAAATGAGAACGGCTGTATATGCGTGAATGTGGCACGTCCATGCTGCAGGGGTCCTGAATTGTTTTGATCTTGTTTATGTATATTCTTTGACACGCTTTATTTGCTTCCTCTGAAGAGTCTAGGCAATCTTGCCATCTGATATATAGTATTATTGTGTTGAACAATTTGTTGCTTTTCATGAATTTGTTGCTTTGTGGTGTTTGTGTTGAACTTTGTGTTCTCATTATTTCATGGTTCATCTATATTAATGTAAAATATAATTTCCGTTGCTTGCACCATTCCTCTCCGTTTTGTTGTGGGCATTTCCTTTTCATTTGGTTAATAAGACTCTATTTTCCCAGTTTAATTTAGTAAGCATGAACTAAATCAAGGTGAAGCAATTTCAATCTCATTAATTGTTAGGGGTGCTCATCCAATGCCAAGGAACTGCAGCGGCTGCAATTCAAGGGGCCAGGTCCCAAAAATGCTGATATGGACAAGGAAACTAAAAACAAAGGCAGGAACCGTCGAACCATCTTCTACGATCATGACCCTGTGAGTTCCGACCATACAAACTCGTTAAGTTTCAACTGATATGCTTTAACCCCCATCAGACTACATAATTTTGTCACGTTTTTATGTAGGTTTATACATCTGCACTAATGCAGTTCGAAAAATGTAGAATAAAGGAAGCAAGTGACAGATCTTCAGGAGCAGGGGTATCGTATTTGCGACGTTAATTGACCTGCCTATCTTACACTTTTGATTTTCCTCGTGCAATGACCTTTTTCTAGTACTGCACTTGATCTGCAAAAGGTGCAAGTGCATTCACATTTCTTGTGAGTCAACGGAAATTTTCTGACTTTTTTTTTTGTGTGTGCACAGCTTCCTGACATTTTTACTTTGTACACTAAAGTAGTTTCATTATTGCCGAGACAATACATGAACTCAAACGAGTTCGCTATACTTTGTAGTCCATGCTTATAATGACGAATGTATCATTTGTTGCAGCTTGCCAAGTATATTTGTCTGAACTGTGGGCGTGGTGATGCAGAGGAGCACATGCTGCTCTGTGATGGTTGTGATGACTCCTACCACACCTTCTGCCTCATGCCCAGCCTCACTGAAATACCTAAAGGTGAGAGCCTCATCCTCGAAAAAAAGGTGAGAGCCTCGGGTCTCTTATTGAGCTAGTCGCTTCCTCTATCTATGAACGGTGAGCCGTGCTGGCCGCTGGGGCTAGGACCATCCATTAGCAAAGTATCTTAATTTGCTGGGTTTTCATGGTTATAGGATGTTGGATATAATATAGGTGGTCATTTCAGTGAATACTAAATTAGTTTATTTGTCAATGGAAGAATCATAAATTTAGATTGGGCTGGAATAGCATAAACCAAACACATTTCATTAATCATTAAAGTTGTGTATTATTTGCTATACTAGGATTGTATGNGTAACTAAAATTTCAGTGTTGTTCATTAGATGCGGATATGCTGATGTTTGTATAAATACTACTTGTGTATTCTAACTGCTGCAGTAAGTCTATTCACAGTTTAATTTTCAACACTGGAATGTGTATTGAAAAGATGTTTACATAACAGGTGACTGGCGATGCCCAAAGTGTGTGGCCGTAGAAGTGAGCAAGCCACTCGAGGCATTTGGCTTTGAACAGGCACAGAAGGAGTACAACTTGCAGTCGTTCGGGGAGATGGCAGATAAATTCAAGCAGGATTACTTCAACATGCCCGTCCATGTACGTCGTCTTCATTTAGTTGCTTGTCGTAGAGAATTTCCATAGTTCTGTTGGAAATTGCTCAAGTTTGCAGCACCACAGTTGCGTGCCAGTATATGTGAATGCTGCTACGGTGGGATGATTTCCAAATTGTGTAATTATAATTTACATGACTGAGTACTGGAAAGTGATGAATATGTACGACCGAGCTGGATTTTTGAGATCATGAGATATTCTCTGATGGTTAGTGCTTTATTATAAATGGGACTTGCCTGGTACTGTGCGCCAGCATGCAGAGCTCAAAAAATCTAATTACTAACTAATTTCTTACAACTTCCGTCCCCTTGCTGCCACTACCAATAAAATATTTACAGCTGATAAAACTTGAATTTCTCTAGAAAATAATCTAACTTTATGTCACTGGCATGTGCTATAGTAAGTCCTTCACCTATTAGCATGCTGTTCACCTATTAGCCTTCACCTATTAATGATGCCTTCACCTATTAGCATGCTTGAGTTCACTAGTAGCTATCCGACTTCATATCACTGGTATGTGCTATAATATACACGTGCTTCATCTTACAGCTGGTACCCACGTCAATGGCAGAGCGAGAGTTCTGGCGCATCGTGTCATCAATTGACGAGGACGTGACGGTGGAGTACGGCGCTGACCTGCACACCATGGACCACGGCTCAGGCTTCCCCACACACCACTCCAACAACCTCATGCCCGCTGATCAGGTCCCATTACATTCCTTTGTGAAGTCTTGATACTTTTTCATTGTCTTACACGAATTTTCTTGATATTTTTATTTTTTTTTTGTGATTGAAAATATTGAGTATAATAATATATTCATATGGAGGAACGATCTTGCTGGCATAAGGTGTTTATACACGGGCCTAGTATTTTCTGAGAGTATTCACTGTGAGTACTTGCATTCTGAATATTATGATTTTATGCTTCGGATGCGAGTAGCTGATGCATTTGCGTCTGATGCAAATGCATCAGCATTTGCTTCAGTTAGTGTGCCATCTAGTACGGCAGTAGCACTGAGGCAGCTGTTGTGTGCATGTCTGTGCCGTTCTGTGTCCTGCTTGAGGCAAGTGTTTCTAATGTTATGAACGATGTCTTGTGCCAACGACGACGATTCTAATAATGTCAAGAGGTATTCAGATGATATTAAACTGTTCCTATAGATACCTATTCCAAAAGCACGATCTGATGTGGATCGTCACAATGAATATTCCAAAAAAAAAAAACTAATTGAGAAAATAGTGTTCGAAACTCAAACGAGACCTCCTGCCACCAAATGCTTCATCAAACGCCTCCTCAAACTAGTTATTACCGTTACATTCCATATTCCTCCATGCACTGACCTCACTCAAAAACTTTCAACGACACACTGGCACCTGTGAACTGTTTACCAAAAGCTCTCCTCATGTATAGGCTTTCAGCCGGCAACACTGGGAGTGTGAAAACTCGCCGCGAATATTCGCAGCTGATACTGGCCCCATGTATATGCAGCTATACTGAGAAGTTATATTATAAATTTGAACTCAGTGGCTAATAATGAGAACAGATTCATTGTTAAATGGGTGGAATATTTAAAACCAGTAGATGTATCAAAGATGTATGGGTTGTACACAGCAAGAAAATTACATTTTGCCATGGCCGCAACATGGCGCGGGGAATGGCATGTTTGATCAAATATAACATGCAGTTACATTTGTATGAACGAAAGCGAAAAAGTTAAAGTAAAGACAAGCCAACAGGATCTTTGGATGAAGATAAAACTACTTATGTGACAGAGGGAATACATTACAGCTGTACATCAAAGATGCGGTAAATTTTGCAGGTGTATGCAAACGACAGTTGGAACCTGAACAACCTGCCGGTGCAAGAAGGCTCGGTGCTGGCGCACATCGGGTGCGATATCAGCGGCATGAAGGTGCCTTGGATGTACGTAGGCATGTGCTTCAGTACCTTCTGCTGGCACAACGAGGACCACTGGAGCTACAGCATCAATTACCTCCACTGGTGAGTTATGCCGCGTTTTGCTCATTTTCTTCAGAAAGCCTCGTTCTATTTCATTCCATATTCTTCTATTTAGAGGTTTTTTGTCACTTGATATGCTATTTTGTTTGTTCTTGCGTCACAGTGCTAAAATAAATCGAAATTTTCTTTTAATTTATTGAAATTGCAGCTTATTTTATTTACTGGAAGAGTTTACCACGCAGTTTTCTCGGTGAATAATCCGTTTGAGGGTATTTGTATCAGCAGTGCGATTCTACTAATCATTTTGCTTTTAAGGGGCGAGCCTAAAACTTGGTACGGAGTGCCAGGTGGAGAAGCAGAAAAATTTGAAGCTTGCATGAAGAGTGCGGCGCCTGAGCTGTTCGAGAGCCATACCAAATGCTTCATCAAACGCCTCCTCAAACTAGTTATTACCGTTACATTCCATATTCCTCCATGCACTGACCTCACTCAAAAACTTTCAACGACACACTGGCACCTGTGAACTGTTTACCAAAAGCTCTCCTCATGTATAGGCTTTCAGCCGGCAACACTGGGAGTGTGAAAACTCGCCGCGAATATTCGCAGCTGATACTGGCCCCATGTATATGCAGCTATACTGAGAAGTTATATTATAAATTTGAACTCAGTGGCTAATAATGAGAACAGATTCATTGTTAAATGGGTGGAATATTTAAAACCAGTAGATGTATCAAAGATGTATGGGTTGTACACAGCAAGAAAATTACATTTTGCCATGGCCGCAACATGGCGCGGGGAATGGCATGTTTGATCAAATATAACATGCAGTTACATTTGTATGAACGAAAGCGAAAAAGTTAAAGTAAAGACAAGCCAACAGGATCTTGGATGAAGATAAAACTACTTATGTGACAGAGGGAATACATTACAGCTGTACATCAAAGATGCGGTAAATTTTGCAGGTGTATGCAAACGACAGTTGGAACCTGAACAACCTGCCGGTGCAAGAAGGCTCGGTGCTGGCGCACATCGGGTGCGATATCAGCGGCATGAAGGTGCCTTGGATGTACGTAGGCATGTGCTTCAGTACCTTCTGCTGGCACAACGAGGACCACTGGAGCTACAGCATCAATTACCTCCACTGGTGAGTTATGCCGCGTTTTGCTCATTTTCTTCAGAAAGCCTCGTTCTATTTCATTCCATATTCTTCTATTTAGAGGTTTTTTGTCACTTGATATGCTATTTTGTTTGTTCTTGCGTCACAGTGCTAAAATAAATCGAAATTTTCTTTTAATTTATTGAAATTGCAGCTTATTTTATTTACTGGAAGAGTTTACCACGCAGTTTTCTCGGTGAATAATCCGTTTGAGGGTATTTGTATCAGCAGTGCGATTCTACTAATCATTTTGCTTTTAAGGGGCGAGCCTAAAACTTGGTACGGAGTGCCAGGTGGAGAAGCAGAAAAATTTGAAGCTTGCATGAAGAGTGCGGCGCCTGAGCTGTTCGAGAGCCAACCTGACCTTCTGCATCAGCTCGTCACAATCATGAACCCTAACATCCTCATGCGAGATGGTGGGCCACAAACTTAAACTTTATTACAGAAATCGGGTACCATATATATATCAAGGGTTTCATCATTGATGCAAGCCTGTGGGATCCCTAGATGCTCAAACGGTTGTTGATAATGCACTTCTCGTGACTGCGTCTGTAATGGACGTCCAGAAATATGTTTTCTCTATTGAATGATATTTTTTTGACCAAATAAATTCCGATTTACATCCTACTTGGTTTGGTTGTTGAATGATACGACTATATAAACCATTCATATCACATGTTATCTTCTGCATCATGTCCATGTTTTGAGAATATCTAATCCATATTGGCATTCAGCAGACGTGCCCATCGTTCGTTGTGACCAACATGCCGGGGAGTTCGTAATCACTTTCCCCCGGTCATACCACGCCGGGTTCAATCAAGGTTACAATTTTGCGGAGGCCGTGAACTTCGCACCTCCGGACTGGCTAGCCATAGGCCGCGAATGCATCGATCACTACAGCAAACTGAAGCGATATTGTGTGTTTTCCCATGATGAGCTTGTGTGTAAGATGGCGTCGTCTCCCGAGTCTCTGGAACTCACCGTTGCTGCCGCGACTTACCAAGATCTTCTTAAGATGGTTGATGGCGAGAAGCGTCAACGCAAAGCCTTACTGCAGTGGGTCAGTGCTTACTGCATTTAACGCAATATCTAGCGGCTAATTCATTACTAATTCGAGCTAATTCACGCACTGTTTGTCGTTGATAGTTTTTTCTTCTGTCTCTGAGTACATGACTGGCACCTTTCAGAGGAAATGGGCATATGATAATCTTCTATTTTTAACATACATGCTAAGTATACTACTACCTAACAATATGTTCGTGTTGATGCAGACACGACTACAAACGAAAATTCGTGCCCGCTCATTTGAAATGCTTAAATCCTAATGATAACCGTACAAACAAATTAACTTATTGCATCATCGAACGAGAGAAAATGTTTTTTGATTGAAGCAACGGGGAATTGTATCCACGTAATTGGAATAACCATCACGGTTTTATTCGTCACGGTCAAAATATATTTATTTTTTATTGCAATAACTTACAGGGCGTGAAAGCAGCAGAACGAGACGCGTTTGAACTGCTGCCCGACGACGAGCGCCAGTGCGAGTTCTGTAAGACCACGTGCTTCTTGTCGGCCGTGACCTGCAGCTGCTGTCCCTCCAAGCTTGTGTGTCTCAGGCATCATAAGAGCCTGTGTGACTGTCCTGCTTCCCAGCACGTGCTCAGGTCAGCTCCTGGCAATGTCACATTTCCAGATATCAATACCCGAGGTATCCAGATATCCAATTTATCAGAGATATCCAATATATTAGAGATATCCAGTTGATAGTTTGTTTTTGTCGATAGAAACAAAAGTTTTTAGTTGTAAGTAATTTGACTGCTTCTAGATTTTATCAAATGTCTTATATATGCAAGGTAATTGTTGTACCCACGATATTTGAGTTGTATGATCGTGGGGCTCCATGTTTTTCTGATCGGAACACTACTAAAAATTTTCTCATTTGCCACTAAGACCAAGTGATGAACGAGTCCGTGCAATATTCAGAGATAATAGTCATAGATTACTGAGAATAAAGATTGGATGAAGGAATGAATGCAAAAGCCTGTTTCCAACGTTTAATTGTTTAGGCCCGACATTATTATTTCATCAGTTCAATTATATGTGTTACTTAAGTGATAGTATTTAGTAGTTAATGACGATCCTGATATTTAAGATATTTCATGAGTTAGATATAATAAAGTTGAATACTACATACTAGTCAATGTCGTTAATATGTGCACGCCATTGCCGCTTGGATTGTAGCTGGTACGCATGTGAATTAAGCTATGAACATCCTAGTGAACTCCAAGTGAAATTATTAACAATTTCAAGTGAAAGGGAAATACTTAACCAGTGAAATAACAATAGTACAAAAATAACGTTGAATAGCAGCTACGGTGGAAAATCATATTAGTTGCTGATCTTTATGAAGTAGTCCGTTCATTTTTTAACGAACATGAAAACCTCATGAATATCGAAATCCTACAAAAACAAGACTGTTCTGATAAAGTAAGAACGTCTTACCAGGTACCGCTATACTCTGGACGAGCTTCCTCCTATGCTACAACAACTGAAGCAGCGAGCTGAGTCTTTCGACCACTGGGCATCTGAAGTGAAGCGCGCCCTTGAGGTTAAAAAACCTCAGGAAAAACTCGGTAAGTTTGTCTGATTACGCTCTTTCCTTTTTGTTTTGCACAAGAAAAGTGTGCTTATTCTTTTCAACTGTGTTACTCTGTGTGTTTCTGTTCGGCTCATTGCTAACCAAAGCGAATTCTTCGAACTTGGCTTCATAGAAGCCCCTGCTTAATTTTATATTTTAGTTGAAAATGTACCAATGCAAATTTTCCTGTATTTGCATAGATATTACGTTGACAAACGACACGTTGAAGTTGTTGAGTTGTGTGATTAGACGCATTTGATTTATGAAAGCCATATTACACAACGTGAACTTGAAATGTGACTATTTTACCAATTTTATTCCTCTTGCGATTGATATTAAATTTTTAAGGTTTTTATATTATTTTCATTCGCGGTTTGTTAAAACCGTTTTTTTACTTTAAACGCTGTTTCTTTATACATAGCGCAAGACCAGAGTAATTTTACATCCGATACAACCTAGGCATGTCTCTTTATATCACGGTCTATCAATGATACTGCGTATAATTCTATGGTATTAGAATTGAAGATTGCACATATGATAAAACTTAGTCATGTCTCTTTCTATCACGGTTTATAAATGATACTGCGTTGAATTCTATGGTATTAGAATTGACGAGACATTTGTGCTGCAGAGTTGGATGAGCTGCGGGCCCTTGTGACCACGGCGGAGGAGCGACGCTTCCCTGACAACGAGCTGCTGGGAGCCTTGCTGGCCGCCGTGGCTGAGGCTGATAAATGTGCTGCTGTCGCTGCGCATCTCAACGCTAAGAAAGTCAGGACCAGGTACGTAATTGTCAGCATAATATGCAAATTTTCAGAGTGAAGTGGGTAATAACACAAGATGCCTCAATGTCAGGTAAAGGTGCTTAATTGTCAGCACTAAATGCCGGAATATCAAGGCAGGGTGGGTAATTGTTAGCACCTGATGCACTAAAGGCTGTAGTATCGAAACTCGTAACTATTTCAATAATATGGCATCAGGTGCATAATTGTTCGCACAGGATGCCTAAATGTCGAGACAAGAGATGTAATTAGCACAATGTAGATTTACTCAGACTTGTACGTTGTATCAGCACATCATATCCAGTATTTATAGAAAAACAATAGCATCACACTGCTTCCGTTATCAAACAGAACGCGGGGCAGCGGCGACCCCAAAAGTCGCCTCACATTGGAAGAACTTCAGCTCTTCTATGACCAGATTTGTTCGCTTGCTTGCTCCATTAAGGAGGGTGAAGGCGTCAAGGAAATCCTCGACACCGTCGTTGACTACCAGCGTAAGGTAAGTATGGTGTCTTAGTAAGTTTATGCTGTGATGCAACGCTCGTTGTGTTAATAACAGCGATGTAGATGATGTTTTAAGTTCGTGTTACAATGCTAATGATTCTGGCCCGTTGAGTTTGATGTGTAAGCTGTTGTCACTGAATAAATTTTCAACTTAGAAATTGTAAACAAGATGATGTGTAAGGTGAATTTGTGCTGGTGTCCCAATGCGGTTGAGGCGAACTCGTCGCCTATTCGATCTGACTTGTTGGTAACAAAACAAACTTCAGAACTATACGGACTAAGGGTGGAAAAGGAGCAGGAAACGCACATACTGGTTCTAGTTTATTAACTATTGGGATCTTATACAGTTAGTGTGACAGTATAAAGTGAAATGTAGTCAACTGAAACTTGAAACTGAAGATAACAACAAGTATGATAACTCGGACCAATGTGCAATGTAGGGAGTATATCGGGAGCGTTCAAGAGTGAATAACTTATGAGGTCTATAGGGAGCATGCGACAGTAATTTATCCATGCAGCTAATACAAGATCTCGGAACACTTTGCCTAAATGCCACACTTTAAAGTAGTTTGATATTAAATTGGATCACCAGTTACTGATCAAGCCCTGCACTAAAAGGAATAAGAATGATTTTAGTCGAATCGAGGAAATGGTTTAGTTGAGTCAAGAAAACGCTTCACAAGGAAAAATATAAACACAGTAATACAAACGAGAGCGACAAGAGGACGTGCCGCAAAGTAGCGGTAACCACCCCCGCCAACAGTATCTCGCTCGCCTGTAAAATGTAAAAAAAAATTATTTTAAAATTTTATGTATTCAAGTATCAAGTCGATGTATTCAGCATCTGAGACAGAGAACGATAATGATTGAGGTTGCGAATTTTAATGGTGTTTATGTATGAATGATTACGATGATTTATTTATGGGAATTATACGAGTTTATTACTTATTTTGTTATTGCACTTCATTGGACAGGCGGCTGAGGCGTTGGTGGAAAGCGACCGCTGGCTCGCGGAGTACGTGATGCGGGAGGACGAAACAAGTGATGCTAAATCTCAACACGAACTTGATGCTAAGAAGTCCAAGCGCAAGAAAAAGCCTCTTGCTAACACCAAAGAAGACGCTGATGCAAAAGAAGTGGACTCGAAAGAGGAAATAAAGAACGAAGACGAGAAGGAAGATGGCGACAAAGTGGATGAAACAGACGATGATAGCGTACACAGTGAACACCTCTCAGAGCTGCTCGAGACTGGGCTGGGTCTGGATATTGAACTGCCTGAACTGGCGCGGCTTCGTCATAGGCTACAGAAAGTAAGTCGTCGTGTTTAAGTGACGTGAATAATGTCGTATTTGGTATTTGTTTTAGAAATTATTTCTATGCAGATAAAAACGAGAACATCGATGACATTATTTTTAAAATGGGCTCATTTTTGAATGCGCTGGGATACTAGAGTCAACTGGTCACAGTTTCGTATTTGTTAATGTTGATGGTATTTTATTTATATGTACCTATTTTTATATATGTTGTTTTTTAATGCAATTTGTATGACGTGTTACTGGCTTTAAACAGATTTTTTATAGTGCACACTTCCCTAGAGATTTCTATCTAATGCTCCTAAATTGACAGGCCTGTTATCAGCTGAGACGCTTTAGTAGCACTTTAGTTATCTATAATATCTGACTCTGATTCACTAGGTGCAATGGCTGGAAGAAGTGCAGGACACGCTAGATTGCGAGAACACAGTCACGGCCGACACAGTGCGAGCCTTGCTCAACAAGTCACATCAGTTGCCCCCGCACCGCCGTGTGGAGAGCACACGCGTCGCTCTGCAGCAACTCTGCAACGACATCGAGGAATATGATGCCAGGGCCGCCGCTCTACTGGCCAGCAAGTAAGTGTACATTTTGGTCGAGATTCTCGGCTGATTTGTTGTTATTAATGAACATTAGTAAGCAAGATACCAAGTTTTATTTATATAAAGATGGATTGTCATAAACATCATTCCAAATTTCCTTTAATGTGCTTACAAATGCGCAATACTCATGTCAGCAGATATTTGTATCTTTAAAATTATGAAACATCAGATGCATTTTCTAGCATTCGGAAGAATTCGTTGTGAATGGCTTTATTTTATTTGACACTGTTTCAAAATTTGTGGTATCTGAAGTTTACGGCAATTTGCATGCTGAAGTTTCAACACGTCTTAAATTGTGTATTTTAAAACTCTCGACAAACTGAAACCTTTGATGTTGCATCACCAGCGAAGTCAAGGGCTAAGTTATATTTTACAATTAACCAGTTCAGAGTCAAATAAAGATATTGGTCAGTGGTAAGAGGCATGCAATGAGTTAAATAAGGAAATAGGTAATGTTAAGGGACAATACTACTAGCCAAATGAAAAAAATGGTCAACGTTAAGAGACTATACGAGGAGTCAAATGAGATAATTTTTCAAGATAAGAGGCCATGCGACTAATTGCCTTCAATTGCAGGCAGTCGACGCTGCAGGAAGCCGAGCAGATGCTGCAGGAGGCAGGCCGCGTGCGGGCACACCTACCTGCCGTGATCTCCCTCCGCGACGCCGTAAAGAAGGCCAGGGAGTGGAAGGCAAGAGCTGCCGCTGCCTGTAGCAAGTGTAGGGCTCCTAGCAGCGCTAATAATGATGTTACCGATGATGCAGCGATCGGTGATGATGTGTGTGGTAACGCCGTCACTAATGGTACCAGTAATGGTACTGGTAGTGACAACACTGGCGCCACTAATTGTACCGAAGCGAGCAGTAATGGAACTAACAACTCCGCTGCCAACGCCCCTGAAACCAACGAGGGAAACGCGGATGCTCCGCGTAGCGCCTCTGAGGGATCGTTAGCTGGTGAGTCGATGCTTACTTATTGGCATGTCCTTAAGGCTGAACTGACATGTATAGATTGTATCTGTGCAACCAGAGATACTGTATGAGTGGAACTCTGTACAAATCTCGACGCATTTTTGCCTTTGCGAGTCATCCTGACTCAGGTTGGCACGAAATGAAGACGTATCAGTGCTACACGCAGTACGTTGTCGCTATGTGGATAATACGGCCCGTTCATTTTTCTGAATGTGGCATTGCACTTCGTGTTTTAGACGTCGAGTACATATCGGTATCCTTGAGAGATCGCAGTATGAAATACAATTTTGAGTTACTTTTTTGGCTTTCTGATGTATTTATGTTGCTTTCAAGCATCATCTGATCTGCTTTAAAAACTGCACATGTTCCTAAGAATCATAAAAAATCTGTCCCTTCTACCTATCGATATTTTTAGAGTTTTTACAATTTTGATTCTCATGATCTTGTTGCATATTCCCTCATTTTTGACCTCGTCTTGCCGAAAAGTATTTTATCCTCGTAAAACTTAGATTGATCACGTATTCTATTTTTTCGTATAATTGTATTCTACTCCTGCGCTCTGGGAAGAGTAATTTAATCTACTCATTATTGCAGTAACTACTTTGGTTGTAGTATATTTTGTTTATCCTTGTTATCTTGGTTATCAGCCCGCTACCTTTCTTCTAAGCAACATTGTCCAGCTGTTGTCTTTACTCTTAATGTTGTCTTTACTCTCTAGTTGTTGTTAATTCTTGATGTATCATGCAGAGCACGTGGTACCTTCAGCACCTATGCTGGAGGTGGTGGAGGCGTTGGTGCACAGGGCGCGCCCCATCCCTCTTCACCTGCCGGAGCTACATCTGCTGGAGGAGGAGGCTGCCGCTGCACATCTCTGGCTCGAGAAAACCGCTAGAATTTTCCTCAAGAAAAATTCCACTTTCTCTCTTATCGAGGTAAAAGACTTGAATACAAAAAGGCCGAGTTAGTAGTTTAACCGTGTTGACGGTCATATGTACAAATATTCACTGTGCAGTCACATGATAACGATAATTGTTAGTGCGCGTTATTAACACTTTCTTCTCAACAATAATTACCGGTGAATACATATATATTCATCTAATTATTGGACAATGAAATTAATTATTAGAAAATTATTCATTACCATTGTAATGATGCACGTGATTTTTGTGCTTCGGCTGCTACCTCATCAGCTGTCGAATAAAGTGGACTTCAGCAATTATCTATGCCTATCTTCAACAAGACTTGGCTGGTGATCCCCTGCTGTCCTTTGGGCGACAAGAACCATGACTTATAATGCAGGAACAATTGCACAATAAGAACGGTTGTGCGTGCTCGAATGTTGATACTAGAAGGTCATGTATTTAAGGTATTGATATAACTAGCATTATCACATGACATAACTAGCAGCACGTGATGTTCCAGGTGCTGGTGCCGCGCACGGAGGTTGGTGTGATAGGCAGCAATAAGAGGAAGAGGTTCAAGAAGGACGAACTCACGACCGTCCAACAGGCCGCTGCTCTGCTCGACATCACTGCACTGCAGGCTGCTAACCCAGCGAGGCTTGTTAAGGCTTATAAGGTAGGCCTTATTAAGCATTATGATTTATGAATAATGTCCACCTAAATTTTTATATATAGGCAGTGATAAAGATTATTTTGTGGGTCTAATGAAATTCAATTTCCTAATACCCATTGAGTAAATAATATACCTAATTATTGTTTTTGTAAAATGCGTTACGAAGTAAGAATAAGTTGAGTCATGAATTTCTTACTAAATGTAGATGGTGAATCCTAATTAAAGTCGTACTTTTGAACATATGCATGAGTGACGTCGACATTATACTGAGATTGACTAATAATAGCAATATTTGGCAGAGTTAATCCTAATTAAAGTCGTACTTTTGAACATATGCATGAGTGACATCGACATTATGCTGAGATTGACTAATAATAACAATATTTGGCAGAAGGTTAATTTCCTCTGTTTACTCGCAGGACTGCGAGGAACGAGAGGTGAAAGCAATGCGCGCCGTTCGTTGTCACAAGAGGACCCAGCGGGAAGACTCGTCGGCAGAAGAAAGCATTTGTACCTGCCATAAGCCGCCCACTGAAGACATGATTCTCTGCGCCCTGTGCTCGCATTCTTATCACGGTGAGTGGAGGCCGTTAATATTGCTGTGGCTGTAATGACGGTAGGCGACACGTGTTAGTGTAATAATTGTTGCATGTGATCATTAATTCTTCACTTGCACGCAGTGAGCTGTGTTCCAAGCTCGGGTTGCAGGCGTCTGGTCTCCCTTCCTCCCGCCCCCCGCTGCAGTGCCCCCCTCACCCCCACCTTCTTGTGCCCGTCCTGCCACCGCTCACGACGCCCCAAGCTTGAGACCATCCTTGCTCTGCTGCTCGCTCTCCAGAAGATCCACGTCAGGTATGCCGCTTCTCGTGTCTAAAAATTCAAATTTTTCAAACTGCCTCGGGTCATTCAATTAAAATTCTTGGCAAAATTTATAATTGATTGTAGGTTCCATCCTAGCACCTCAAATCATGGTAAATTTTCTCTTCATATCTCCGTCTTTTGCTGATGCACGACGGTCTCATCACGCCTCCTCAGAACAAAAACGTGCGTTGTGCTTTCTACCAAGTATTAATGAACCATTAAATTGCTCTGACAGCGATATGATACGTAGAACCCTTCCAAAGGACTACCGTGTGTACACGCTTGTCTGTTATTCATTTCGTTTTTGTGTCACTGACTATTTCTAAGTTTTTGTTGCAACTTGGGATTTTTGTATGAATGCACTTCCATATTATGATGCTCGCGTTTTTATTTATCTTAATTGCTATATGTGTTGCATTTCTATCTTTAAGTTGGCATTAGATGATCATTTCGATGTAATGAAGATGTCAATGATTGGAAATTCATCAAATGAAATTGGATGATGTCAGTGATTGGAACAATAGCAATAATTAATAATGAAATTCAATTAGGGTTGCGGCGAGAACAAAGGCGACACCTTATGGAGTACAAACCTCGGCCTCGTTGAGAACCAGATGGCAGAGCCACGAAGTCCTGTAGCTGCTGCTGGTGTAGTCACCCAGAGCGTCGTGTGTTCTGTCTTGTCTACTCTGGTGGAGAAACCTGATGATCCTTTGCTTGAGATCGACGAGGCCACGCGTAAGGAGATGCTCGAGGTGGTGCTTGAGGGAGAACTACTTGAGGTTACCATGGAGGAGACGACCAGCATCTGGCAGCTGCTGCAGCTGGCGCTGATGCCCGTCGCTGCCGTGGCCCACGTTGTCATGGAGATAGCGGGAGTCGGGGGAGAAGAGCGCAAGGTGCAACACGCTCACAAGAAGAGGAAATCCCAGGATGTCGATATGAATTCCTCTAGGAATGTCAATAAATCCCCAAAGCGGCTGAAGCTTGCTGGGGGAAATGATCTCAGTAATGGTGGCAATAATGATTCATCTAATGCTAGCAGTAAACAAAGCAGCGCCATTAAGTCCTCTAATGCTGACGATATTATCAAGAAATCTTTCAAGAAAAAGTCCAATTCCATGAGTAAGTTACCCGACGGGAAAAGGAAAGACGGTATCATTGTGTCCTCGGGAATCATTAAGAAAAAGCGTCCTCTTGTCTCTAGTCTTTCAAGCGGAAATATTATGAATAACAAACCACAAAACACGAAATCTCCATCCTCTCCTCACAAGAAACCAGCCCCGGGACCACTATCCTCGAAAACTCCCAAGCCGCCACCAGGCCCGGCATTTATTAAACCCGCCTCCGGACCCGTATGTTCTAAACCTCCAGGACCAGCGTCGTCTAAACACCATGGGCCCAAGAAGAAGAAATCAAGCACCCCATCGTCCAGCAGCAGCTCTGACGACGACGATGTTTGTGCTGCGGCGCGCTGCAAAATCCCTGTAGGTGCCGCCGTGGACTGGGTTCAGTGCGACGAATGTAACGGCTGGTTCCACTACGTCTGCGTGGGGCTCAAGCAAACCGACCTTAGGGAGGATGAGGATTATATCTGCGTCACCTGCAGCGGAGCCAACCCCTCGCGAGCTAAGGTCAGTAAACCCGACGTTGAAATATTCTTCTTTTACGGCAAACTTGGGTATATTTTTATTTAATCGTCCAAAGTAATGTTGCCTACTTGAGGTTGGATATAATCTGTTATGTATGACTAATGAAAACAAATAGTTTTCGTCTAAAGTGACGTATTAATAAATTGACGTCAAGAGTTTTTTTCCAGTTTTGATGGTAAAAATATCACCATCAAAGGCACCTATTGTTATTCATTAGTTATTGTTATTATTTAAATTAGTTAAACTATTTATTTATTCGCTCTCTATAATTAACGATCACATCGTTATAAACCACACTTGTTTGAATTTAGCAAATTGATGCTTGTGTTTAATCCAGCTAATAATTATTTAATTTCTTTTCTCCAGGCATCGGCCACGGCTTCGAGATGTTAGAAGATTATAATCCGCTGCACCTTGACGGATTTTCTTGTGGTCGCTGCCTAATTTTGTTGCGCGCTCGCCACGTGAAGGAATGTTCACTTCACGATTCTCAACTGTACCAAACAGTTACTTGCATTAAAGCTTTACTGGCGTGCTGTATTATCGAGGAAGACTAACCAAGGGACCTCTACTAAAAATCATTGATCTCGAGTCCTTTTCTTTTGTAGATAGAATAGCTTTCGGTGTGGGGTAGCCGGTCTCATTGCTGTATTATAACTGAGTTCTATCGGTAGGGTTGAAATAAAAATCCTTATCTTCTCGATTCTTCGACTCGGGGAAACATCCAGCTAATGTTACTTCTCATCAGAATTCTTGCAGACAAGAAAATTAATGAATATTTTAGAATTTAATTTGTTGATCGAAAAATTAATAATTGAGTTGCTCTGAGACAGGCGAGTAATACGCAATCATTCATGCAGAAGCATCACTACGGCTAACGTATCTCGAATAATCACGTTAAGATTAAATTAAAATTTATAAAGAAGTCACTTTTGCTCGTTTTTGATCCTGTGGTGCATAGCGGATGACTAAGTTAGTCGCATTTGCCTCGAGTGCCGTTGTCTACAGTTAACAGTAATTTATTATAACCTATCTAGGTAAGCTACCGTCTCCTGAACTGATCGATTATAAATAAAAAATCCAAAGCAAAAAAAAAGGCAAATATTCGAAAGGCACGTAAAAAGAAGCTTGTCCGGTACTGAAGATAGCAGATACAAATTGTGTGTATTAACTTTAAGTGTCCTTAGATTTGAGCTTTAGTAAGAGGATCCATCTCGTATTTAGGACCTCTTCCCTGTGCGCAGGTCCTCAATTATGAGCTTTTATCTGTCAGTAGTCAGTAGTAGTTGCAGTTTCTTTCAATAACGTAGTATTTGGCAGACTTTGTTCGTTCCGTTATTTTTCGCTTGTGAATTGTGTGCGTATTTTTTCGGGCTGAAAATATTCACAAATTTATTTCGGAAGCCTTTGCTTTCACGAGAATACCGTCTCAATGTTTTGATCGTATCTATATAAGCGTGTATTATCAATGTTTTGAGCTTAACTCCTAATGCACTCCTTGCGCTACAATTGCATGAAGCATTTATACAGCAAGACCCCTGACCTTGTAAAGAACCGTTGCTATCATGCAGTAAATTACCGTAAAAACGTACGGTATTCATAGATTTGTCAGTGGGGGTTTCATCATGAATATCTAGTGTATGGTAGCCTCGCTCATTACCGTGTTGATTCTGCTTCACCGTTCGCTGAACGCTTTGGGATAATAGATTTCATTATTATTATCGAAGCATCGTGGATGATAGATTTCATTATAATTGTCGAATCATCGTCGATGATAGCTTTCATTATAATTATCGAATCGTCGAGTATGATAGATTTAATCATTATTGTCGAATCGTCGTGGATGATTATTTGAGCATTGATTCATTCGTACGATGTATGCACTCAAGCCTGCTGCGGAGTTCCTTTAGCCTCTCATTTGTGTAATTTTTTCCTTGCTGACTTATTCGATGCGTTCATCGTAGTTAGCGATATTTCCTTACGAGTCCCTACAGCTCCTCCCATAAATAGGGATTTCCAAGTTAAGATTCACTGTTTGTCCTGCAAAGTATGTTTTGAGATTCCCGTGATTAAATCGACTGAAATTTACACTTGTTGGCTTGGTGGCAATTCCAATTAATTTTTCCTTTCTTTTTCTCGACTGAGTTGTTTTCTTGCCAATTGTATCATAATTGGACCAGGTAATTTTTAGATGGAATGGAGTATACGGTTATCTGCATGTAAAAATTACAGTAATTAAAATATCTTGAGTGCATTGCGTTATGTCAAGATATGTTAATATTTTTCTATGCCCAGCTGCTGAAAAGTATTTTTTTTTTTTCATTATCTGACTTTTCAAAGTTCAATTGGTACTGCGTCTCTTAACACTTAATTGGCAGTTGCTTGCAACTCGCCTCACTTTGACGATCTTTGATTGTTATGCTGATAAAAAATGTTTGGTTTAATGCGACTTGAATTGGCCATGTGCTACTCTTCCGTAATTGGGTAAAAAAACTAATTCGTCCTTTCAAGTTGATAATTATTAAATTTTGCTGTAACATTTGAATCGATTGAATTTGACCACAGTATTTTGCTCCATTTTTTATTTCTGTGATAATTTACATCATTTCTTTCCCTGTCTCGATAATTTGAAAAAGTCCACCTCACGAAAATATGTTTAACTTCGTAGTAGGGGTATCGCTTGTTCTCGGTGCGATGCTTTCTTTATTTTCTATGAACAAAAACAATTTTATTTCCCATTGATCAATTTGTCCCTTGTGAGTGTCAAACTTATTGGTTATTTTGCGATGCTTGTACTTCCTTCGTTATTGACGTTCACGTGCATTTCACTCAATGTTAAGCGATTGTAATTGTTCTTCACGGAGGCATTTTGGTATGCAGATAATTTCAAATACCCGTGGGGAGGTTTTTATTTTTTTGATAATGATTTAATTACTGTTGAAATTTGCATCCCAGCGTTGAAATTATTTGCAGATTTCAAAAGAATGCGTTCACAGTTTTGTTTCGAATATTGAACTTGTTTAAGAAGTTAATGCTGTCGTAAGACTGACGCTAGCATGGTGGCTTCTGTATTCTTTCCTAATTAAGTATAGGATTGTTTACACGGGCAAAGTTTGCCACAGAAAATCTCGCGACTATTTCTTTTATAAGAAAAAAGCCTTGATTATTTCAGATGATAATGCACTGAAAATCTTCTGATCTGTTCGTTCTTCCTCCTTCGCATGAACTTTCTCATCGCCCACCGATCATGTATTTCTCCTTGAAACGTCTGTATATTTTAATTTCATTAAATACTGTAGATTTCGATGACGTTCCTTATTTATCTCTTCTCCTTCTCACACCGACCCATTATCACTTCCATCTCTTCTTCCTCATCTTGCTTAACTTTCTTTGTTTTATTTTTTTTTTATCCAATTTAATGAGGCCAAATTGCCGTCAGCGCACGTGAATTCTTGGTTTGTTTTTAAGAATTGTTTGTCAATTGTAGTTTTCCCATTTGTAGGTTTTTTTTACTGGTTCTTCTTTCTTGACTTGGTTCGTCAATAGAGTGTAGCTTGTCTATCTCACTGCGTTCATCTCCTATTGGCTATACGCATTAACTTAACGGACGAATAATAATTAAAATGTAATTCAGATCAGGTATGGAAATGTGGTCTTGTCTGAATCGTTACATTTCTGGAATATAACATGTTTGCTTCACGAGCACAGAAGCTCGTATTTGTCGCGTCATGTCAACTCGGTTGACATGCTCCCTCGTGAATACGAGGTTCAATAGCGTCTAGTTTCCTCTTTTCTTATTATTCATTGTCTCACTTCCTCGTTTATAATTTCTTGGTTCTTCAAATAACTATGAATTCTTGGCGTTTTTCTGACTATGTTTCTTGTAGACTTGTAGCTTCGTTGCGTTGTACAGTTTTTGGCGCACTAAGCATTACGATTCCCTGTTAGCATAAGCGATTGAGTCGTGGACCTGATCTTTGCCATACAACGGAGGCTGAAACTAAACATAAATGTGAGCTGGGATGAAGGGATTGATCCGCAGTCGTTCTTTTCTGAACTAAGAGAACATGAAGTTTGAAACCCAGGACGATCCAGGTTCAAGGCTCTGATCATTGAAGAAATTATTTAGAGTAATAAATCCCACAGCGAGTGGTTAAGCTAATGTACGGACTTTCTTTTTCCCCGTATTTGTACATTTCGTTGCTTTTTATCCTAAGTTCATCAAGAATTCGGAAGTTAAGAAAATTTTCCGGAAGTTCATACATTGATTTTAAATTAACAATCCTTTGTTAAATTCACCACCGAAATTATGTGCGACAAAGAGTTGTTTGTTAAATCTAGGCTAGACACTGAAAATTTGAGTGGATATATACAATCGCGTAAACTTGAAACTGTTGTACAATGCCTGCATCAAGATACAGTTAACCTTAATTAGTATTGCGTGGCTAGCGAATTATCTTACGAATCTATCAATGATGAAATGAGGAATAACTTTCCGCGCATACAAATTTAATATTTACCTGCATATACATTTACGTGTATATAAAATGCGTGTAGCAAGCCTGCCTCATATATTTACACATCGTAAGTAGTGTATATACTGCCAGTGTAACTTACGGTTCTCTCTGTCTAATACTACAGAGCTCTTGCGCATCGTTCAGGCCGGTGCTGCGGCCATATTTTGTGATAATTATCATCTTGTAATTTGACTTCCCTCTTCCGTTGACTTCCCTTGGATTCGAGTCGCCACGCGAGCCCTCATTGCTATGCAGCCTCTGATCTCCGCCCAGGCTGTGTTGCTGCAAACAAATGACTTACCCCCATCCTTCCCGTGAACCAGAGCTCAGCCTTGCCCTTTCCCCGTACGAAGTTTTTCTCCCACTCCTGTCCCGGACTTACGCTTCCCCATCCTCCTAAACATTTCATTTATCCCAATTCATCAGTCACCAGGGCTCTGAATCTTCTACTCCTCTTCATATCCTTGACGGCCTTGGGTTTGAACTCTGAGCAACTAGTATCATTAGTTTGCTTCAAGGCCTACGTCAACAATATAGTTCACACGAGATCACAATCATCCAGATAATCTCAAATTCAAGCTAAATTCAGAAATTGAAGGAATTCGTGTTATAAGAATTTTATTATACGTAATTCGCCAGACACAAACTTCTGCAGCCATTCTTACTTTCCACTACGCTTCTGAGGGCCAAGTATGAAAATCTGTGGCTGGTGGAGCTCATTAAAGGTAAATGGTCATCCGACACCAGCGTAGGGCTTGTTATGCCAGGACGGTCCCGACACAGCTTGCATGTCAACGAAAAGCGACAGAGCCTCCCAAAAAGCTATACAACGTGATATCCAACCACCGCAAACACGATTTTCAGGATCAAGTTGCGCCAAAAATTAAATTTTTTTAGAATAGAATAGAAGTGTCGGCGTTGAAGACATAGGCACATGGGCCCATTTTGGCTGACAATGCAAATTTTGATCTTATTTATGACCAAAAAGCTATACAACGTGATATCCAACCACCGCAAACACGATTTTCAGGATCAAGTTCCGCCGAGCATTAAATTTTTTTGACTGATAATGCAAATTTTGATAGTTATTCCGTGAATAAATTTGAGATACTCCGGCACGCTCACATAAAGAATCTGAGCCTGCACAATACACCTGAGCCTGATCAAAAGGCACTCAAGGTCAGACTGCATTATTGGAGTTAAAAGTTGTCGAGTAATCTGCAATAGCAAGATTCTTTGGACGGGATCGTGCGGTAATTCCCAGAAGGAATTGCTCGTTACATCAATAAATTGGAATTTCTATTTAGTACAAGTTTAGACCTGAATGAACAATTCGCGTAAGTATAACCTCGTGTGGGGAAGAAGACAAGAGAAATATTCCGATAGGTATACTTCAGGAATTCAAATTTCTACAATTTTTACAATAATGGCCACAATTAGAAGCTGTAAATGCAATGTAAAAGTACGTCAAATTAACATTTCTCAGACGGATTTTAAAGAAGCTGCACGACCAGGATTTCTAATGGGATAGCCAGTGCTAAGATGTTGGGATATTTTGAATTCACTCGATTGGAAGGTCTGCTTAAAGATCCGTAAGCAATTGGCCAAGTGCGATACAAAAGCACTTCTGTAGGTACAAAAAAAAATTGTTTGATTCCAAAAAACTTTGGTGGCTATCCATGTCTACCCTTGTAGCCAGTTGCAACGTTCGAAGTTCACTGTATTTTCCGTAAAATTCTGTAGAACACGCAGCAAATCGATACCGCGATTATTTATACATCCATCAACAATAAGATGTAGATTTTTAACAAATTCGAATGAAGATGGTTCGCAACCCGCGTCCGCTCTGGGACGAGCTCGGAAATTTATCACGATTGCTATGTAACTGCGAGAAATTGAATTAAGGCGATATCTTATGATGTATTCGATCAGTAAGGGCGACAAGACAACTAAAATTTGGCGTGAGCAAAAAAAAAAATCTGGCTAAACATCAATAGTAAGACACGTACTTTTCAGACAGAAAAGTTTGTTCCAATCATAGATCTGAATAAAATCAAATTTGTTATTTACATTTATTAAGTTTGTCGTTAAATATTCATTTATTAAATAGGTTTAACATAATTAGGCTTAAAGAGCGATCATGTTATCTTATAATACATAAATTATGGTAATATGTCAGTATAAGATTACCAACTATCATTATCAAATTTGAAGACCGAGTAGAGATTCAAAGGGACGTCAATTACCATTAATCTTTGGTAACGTAAAAGGAAATTCAGATACTGATTTTAAAAACGTTAAAAATGTTAATATAACAACTAATTCATCAAAGCGTTCCATCCGTCCTCCAGATTTCTAAAGCGACAAAAATGGAAAATTAGCCTTTACAATATTATGCTAGGTAACAAGTGAATATATGAGCTAAACTTTCGTCAAAATAAAGTAGGTGGCTTAATTCGGATATCCGAATTAGTGCTAACCTATAACAAGAATTTCATGCTCGCAATATTGAAGTATTCATGTCAACTTCAGAACAGAGTTCTTGAAACCTTTCGATTACCAGCTTCGAAAAGAGATCCCACATACATCCCATTAAACTTTCACTGTTTAGCATCTGTTCAACTGTCAAATGCATGAACGAACAACCTAGCCAGTTCGAATAAAGTTACATTTAGCGTTCTATTTCAAGTATCAATTTAATCAAGCCAAAATACTTAGTCAGATTCCATTACAATACGTTACATTTTTCAAGTACCAAATGTTAAATTTAGGTATCTAGGGTCCAAAAGAAATTAATTGGCTAGGAGGGCCCAAACGTCACCGAGAATCAGAACGTGTTGCTGCACAACGTTGGCAAGGCTGTACTGAAGTGAGGGAAATAGAGACCCGAAACCTTCGGGATTCTTTCCCGCAAAAGACGGGGTGACCATGGCTCTGTAAAACTCCGACATGTAATTCTCGAGAACCCCAGGAAGTTTCGTCTTCGGTAAAATATTAGCTAGACTCCAGTAACCGTCGTCTGTATCAGAGTCTAGGTAGGGAGTCAGTGCTCTGATCGTACCTATGAAAGAGTACAAAGTTGGCAGGAATTCTTCCCAGGAATTTGCCTCTTTCCATGCTGTTGCCACGCGCCCGCTCAGTATCCTTATCTGCTCCATGGCTTCCATCCGCCTCAAGATTAATTCGTAGAACGGTTTCAGGTATTGCTTGTGTTGATCTCTGAGGTCATAAACATACGCTGGATATAAAGGATTGCTGGAAGTTACCTGCAAACTTCTCAGAAACGATCGCATACCTCTAGAGATCACGTTTTCCAAGACCTGGGTTACTGTAAACATTTTGAGGAGAGTTAACGTAATGGATTCGTTGAAATACAATTGCGAATCTATCAGATCTTTCTGCATCTCGGTGAAATATTCACTCATCTCACTGAGGCTGTTGCTGCACGGCAGAAGCAAATACCGCGTGTTAGCGAGACGCTGCGAGGCACGACTTAGCAACATCTTGAACTCCTCAAACACCACTAGGAGGTCATCAATATGGCAACGAATATTCATTAACTTCCGTTCTTGAACGGCA